TTTTAATTAATTATTTTCTCCTTCTATGTATTACAATATGAATATTTATATTAATTTGTATTTTAAAATAAGTAAATATCATGTAGGTTTAAGTTTCGGTGTATATAAAACAATTTAAAGCTTTATCACAATTCAATATTATAAAATTATAAGTTTTACAATGTTTTCTAATAGTGTTAATGTCAATGGTAGATTTAATTATCCTTGGAGTTAAAATAACATTAGTACAATAAATTTAGTAGAATATAATGAATAAATAATTGATTTATAACTATTATACTATATAACAGGTTTTATTTGATTATGAAAAACTGCAATAATAATACTCGTAACTGCAATATTTTATATTATTTATGTACATGGACATCATTGCAATTATGGTACTCGATACACAATATATCTAATATTAATTACGAATTATAGATTTAATAAAAGATAGTGGATTGCATTAATTAAACTTATTTAAACTTTTTGCAATACCTTGTAGTACTAAGGTTTTTTTATTATTTTTATAAACATTTACGACTAGAATTTGTACGGTTGCAAGGAAGAAAGTTGCATGTTCCTTATAAGATTTTTTGGAAAACTATCAACAATTATTAATATTAAGACAGTTCAGACTAATAAATTACTATAAAATAAATTGAAGCAAAAACGGTTTTCTTTTTTTCCTTTTAAAAACGGAATTTCAAAGTAATTTCGCTGACAATCTACCAATCAAAATATTTTTAAATTTGTCCTACACAAAGTAAATTTCTTTGATAACCAGTGAAGTTTCTGTAGAAAAATGAAAATTTGTGTTGAAACTATTCGTAATTTTTATTTTTCTTTTGTAATTATTTAATTTTGTATAAGAATCTTTTAAGAAAAACACTCTTTGAAAGGGAAGAAAAAATTTCCTCTAATTAATTCGAAAAACAACACTTTATTTTTGCTAATATTTATTTCTTATACACAACATACATTTTATCAAAGCTAATTTTCTTGTATGACAAGATAGAGTTTTATCAAAAATAAAGTGTCCTTTCTGGAATTATGAATACATGAAATTTTTTCTTCTTTTTAATGAAGTGTTTGTGGAAAATATTTGGAAAATATTTGGAAAAAATTTTCAATTGATTTTATAAAATTCTTTATACTTAAATTCTTTAAAAGTTATCTATTGTAATTTTACATAAGAGAAAATTTCTTTCAAAACTTTCTTCAGAAAATATTTTGGTAAACGAATTCCGAAAAAGTTTTATTTATTAAAGTTTATACATTGTAAATATATTTTACAGTTTACATTACAGTAATTAGAAAGGGTGGTCTCTAATTTTATAACTTCAAAGTCCAAGTAAAATCAAGAAAACATCTTTAATAGACAATTAAACTTAATTATGGAAAATTTATTTCTTTTCATTTGAAATTTATTGAATAATTATTATAATTGAATTTTCTATAAATTTAAAATTTATTTTAAATTACAAATGTTGAATATATTTTTATAAATGTGCATGCTACTTATTTGTTTAGTAAATTACACTATACATGCAATTTGTCAATTAATTCGTAACAAACAAAAAAAAATATTAAATTATAAAATTAACTAAAATATTATTATAGTGTATTAAATAATATTTTAGAACCGAACATTTTAGCAGGCTTTAAGAAATTATTTTAATGTTTATAAATACTTGTTGTACAAATTACCTTAATGATGATTATTAGTAAGTTCGCAAGTACCAAAAACTTTTACAGAACAATTTTTCTTGTACGCAATTAATGAATAAATTTAAAATTTACACCTGTTTAAAAACTTTTCGGCACCATTTTGAAAGTGATAACGAAATATTACAAAATTAACTTCTTCGCCTAGAACATCCCCTTTTCTATATGTAGAGATGTACATATTATACATAAGCTAATTAAAATTTCTTGCTTTAACTTTCACTTCAGACTGGCGAAAGTATCGAAAGCGAAATATGAAAATTATTTAATCACAAATAATGTATAAATTTTAGCTTTTTAAATGAGTAGACAATAAATCACTTGATTTTAAATTTAATTTTAAAATTAATTTATTTTTAGAGTAAATCATATTGAATATATTTTTGAATATAAGTGGCTTTTAAATGAACATATAAGTAAAAAAATATATAATAAAAAAAATATTTAAGAAAAATATTCGAAAAAATGGTTGAGTTGAATTTTTACTTCATACCAAAAAATCTTAAAGCAAAATAAAAACAGTTTGACCATATGTTAATTATGAAGGCAAGTATATGTACAAGCGTTTGCCATAACTGTAATAAAAATTCAGAATTCTTAAAACCGTTTTGCTTATACATTTTCCATATGTAGATACAGATGCCTCTTTCTAACACAATGTAATTCAACTGTCCAAAATGTTTACTTAAAAAAATAAAGAGTAAATGGTAATCTTAAACGCAATAAAGGCAAAAGAAAGAAATTAAATATGATATAATGTCAATTCAATGTAAAAAATTTTGAAACACCTCAAGTGCCCAATTTTTTGATTTTTTTTTCCAGTAAATATGTTTGACTTTCAACATGTGCTTGAAAACCTAATTTTTTTTTGTTGTACACTCAATTTTCTGAGCTATATGTTATATATACTGGTTATACAGAGAAAATATTTTCTATCTATTCAACCATTTGGCTCTTCACTTGAATTAAGTAAAGTAATTGCAAGTTAGTTTTGGTCAACATTTTATAAACAAAATATATTTACATGTACATATTTACTAATTTTTTTTTTTACATAGATACTTATGAGTAATTTTTTTATAACTTCAACTTATACAATTATTAATAATTAACACTTAACATTTATTTATCTGAATTTCTTTTTGTCAATAAAATTACCAAACTTATAAATTTATTCTTGTATTTCTAATATGGGTATAAATATGCACGATTTTTAAGAGCAACAATTAATGTAAAGCAACATTGATATTTGAAAATCTCATCTGTTTTATGTTCTGTGTTATAACCCGAAAGTAAGTAACATTTTATTGCTTGTTTGATATATTTGGTATAAACTTCAAGTTAATGTACAAACTTAAATTATAAAATAGTTTTTATTGTATTTTGGAACCTATAAACGTATAGTTATTTTATTATATGTTTGTCGCATCGGTAAGCGATAATCTTGCAAAATTTTGATCTAAATGAACAAACAAAAAGGCAAAAATTGGGATTAATTTATTTTCAGATTGTTTTTTAACTCATGTTAAAAACCATCGGATAACTTTTAAGTGAATCACTCAACGTTTTCTTTTCCAAAATTATAAAAACATTACGTACATATGTATGTATATTACATTTTTATTAGTTTTCTTTTACGTTCAAAGTTTAGGGTTTCCCAAGAAACTGTTAATCAATGAATCAGAAAGAATCAAAACAAAACTATGAATTTATTTAAAAAGAAAAAAAAAACTTGCGGCACTGAATTTTTTTTATAATAGGAAATAACTTAATGGTATGTAAAATAACAATTATCATCACACTAAAATTATTTAAAATGATATTTTTTGTTAATAAATTTTAATTTTATGCAAACGTCAGAAAAAAAAATGAAATGTTGTAGCATAAACCAATGTCATTTCGTGAGTTTTTGTAGTGCCTATATAAAATATACAGAATTTTTGGAAAAAAAACGCGTTATACTATTTTACATATGTACATAGTGTTTGTAAATTCGTTTCCATTCTTTGGTATTAAGTGATTTAATTTTAATGTTAAGTGATTTTAAATTAAATATTTTACTCTAGTACATATCATATTTTTTCAACTTTTCAATTTTACTAAAATAATTCCTTCTCCATTCTATATAAAATGATGTATTTAAGTATCATCAAATTTTAATTAAATTAAATTACTAATTGTTCTCTATATGTAACACGTATATGGGTGAACATAAATAGACAATTTCAATCCAAACTAGCAATACGTTAATAACAAATCAAAAACAAATTATCAATCTCTTATTAAAAAATGTGATAAATATTTTTTTTGCATATTAAAACAAGAAAACAATATAAAACTTTATTGATGAAGCCTTGGAAATGGAATTTTTCAATACCTTAAAGCCATAAAATCATTAATAATGTTACAAAATATGTGTTTTAAGTTATTGTAAATCAATGAGCAATATATGTGTATCAACATAAATCTGGTTTTGAGGGATCTATTTTACTTTAAAAAAAATTGTTTATACGATTAGTTCATTATTCTATTATAATATTGGTAAGCCGGACTTATATAACTTTGTTTTGAGCAAGTACTATTATTTATATATTATATTGCGTAAATAATACTATAATAATATTCATAAGTATGACAATAGTTGTTTGTTTTGTTAATTGAAAAAGGTTTTCTTAATTCAAATTTAAATTATATTTATAAATCGGTTTAAAATTTACTTAGAATATCAAGAGGTTTCAAAATCTATATCTAAATTATTTTCTTTAATAAAGGATGTAGGTAACACCAAAATTTTTTATAAAATAATTTGTACATATACATATATAACCCCGCGCAAACTTTTTTGACACTTTCAACAAACGCAATTGATTTTATATAATTTTTGAGAAACCATTAAGTTCTTTTGTTTTATATCACATTCAAAAGAACTAAGTAAATTAATTTTAAAATGTTATTAATTAATTATAATTTGAACTAATTATCTTATGATATCCTTTGAATGTCTAGACAAATTCCAATAAAGAATTCAGCACAAAACGTTACTTTTAACAGTTTATTTTATTTTGTTGCTACTTGAACAAAATTCTGTTAAGAAATTATTTGAAACCGAAAAAAAAAATGTTATTAAAATCTTCTCATAAATTTAGCTCTCTTCATATAAAACTTTCCATTGGCTTATTTTAAAAATTAGCACCTAGGCATGTATTTATTTATCTTTTTTCAAATAAATAAGTTATTTTTGTATTTAAAAAAAATTTATTGAAATTTAGAAAACAAAAAAAAAATCTTACCTTTCCTCAACACTTAAATGATCCAGTTCAGGTATATGACACCAATGCTGTTCGGGTACTAATGTTATAAATATTTGTGAAAAATAGACGAATGCAACAAAGAATGCAAATGGTATCATACATAAGAAAAGAATTTTCTGATATCGTCCAAATTCACCGATATGCGGTAATAGATCATCAAAATCAATAAATTTTTTTGGATTTTCATCGACTGTTGTTAAGTTAGGGTGAGGATGTAAATGATTTTGTAAAATATTTTTATTAAATTCATCACTATTTTTTTTAGTTACAACCACTAATTTATTATCATCGTTCTCAAAACCAATATTAATGAAAGAATTATCAGGATCATTTGGGCCTGGAATTTCATTTTCTTCTGGTTTCGGTGTCATTATTGCGTTAACAGTTAAATTATCCTGCGTCAGATTCTCAATTTTGAATGTTTTATTAGCAATTTTTATATATTAAAATTTTAAATTATATAATTTAAAAAAATACGTTTTTTATTTTGATAATTTAATTTTCTATTATAATAATTATTTAATACCGTTTTAATTATTTTAACAAATTAAAATTTTTTATTTTCGTTTATGAAAACTTTTAAATATTCAGGACTAGCCTTTTTTATATGGACGTTCAAAAATTAATTTTATTAAAAACAAATATATTAAAAATTAATATAAATATATTTTTTTAGCAAATTCCTGAACTTGGAATCAATAAAAATTTATATATATATATAATTGAAATATATATATACACTTTCTACTTAAACGGAAAGTTTAAGACGTTTTAAATATAACGTTCTTCACTTGACTAACTGAAGTAATGATAACAATCATCATTTTATATACTGAGTGCATTAATATTTTATTCGTATGAGTAAAAATTTTAAAATATCACTCAAAACTGGTTTTAAAATTTTCGTATTTTTTATTTTCTTTCTCGTTCCATAACGGTTTTAAGAAAAGTATTTTTTCAATCTTTTGAGTTGAATTGTTTATTTTTGAACAAAAGTTTGTTAGCAAAGTGCTGTACTAACTGTGTATGTAGATATAAAAAGAAAAACTATATCACGAAAATATTATGATTGTTGATTGTTCTGCTTATAAATGGTAATATTTGAGTATAAAAATTATTGAGTAGTTTTTATTCAGCAATAACTAAATTTCTTACTCTTTTCTTTGTATCGTAATCGTTCTTTTTCTTACTCTTTTTTTTTTGTATCGTAATCATAATCTTCAATTAATGCAAAAAATAAAAAGAATTATATATTACCTATTTGTTTGAAGTGGTCGTCTTGAATTTCCTAATACTTGTAGGTAGACCAAAAAATTTTTTTTAGTTTCCTATTGCAGCGAATTTGTAACTCATTCTGCATTTTATTTAGAGGATTTGGTATAAGTTTTGGAAAAGGTCCCATTGATACTTTAAACAAAATTTAAAGTGCTTTAAGACTTTCAATGAAATTTTGTGTAGATCAAATTATAAGTTAATATACCGGATGTTTCGCATCAGGTGGCAAATATCAGGGATGATTGTTTGATAAAGTTCCCGCAAAAAATTGTATGGGGGGTTGCAGATATACTAGTTTTTGAGCTACAGTCAGTTGAAAAAAAAAGTACTGGTTTTTTTCTTGCATATATATAAGTAAATGCTCATAACTTCAGAACCATATAGTATAGAGTTACCATTAGAAGTTGTTTTACAGGCGATTGATTGTTCTTTATTTTTGACCTTGCAATTAATTTGATTTGGGCTATAGTTTTCGAACTATACAGCTCGTCAAAGTCAGAATTTTTGTTTTTTTTTTTGGAAATTTTTTTTACAAAACTCGAAATTTCTCGAAAATTTTTGTTATTATTTTTGTTTTCTTCGATGCGCTACGATGAGATCTAAAAGTTAACCCATATAACATTCATCTCTCACAGTTTTGCCAGTAAAACGTTTAAATATGTTCAAAAACATAAACGCCATGATCAAAGAATCCCTCGTATTATTTGCCACCTTATACGACACACCCTGTATAAAAGTCACAATTTACATCAGCTATAGTGTTTGTAACGTAAACCTTGTTTCTGTGATATTTCATGCATTGTCACACGATGTCTCTAATTTACCTCAATTTTAGTCTAATCTCAACTTTACTCTTTTCGCCTGCAACAAATAAACTTATATTTGCGTTTAAAAAAAACAATACAAGAGAACATTTACGACCAAGCATGGGAACTTACTCATAAAATAATTTTATCTATGTGGAATACTAACCATAGTGCATTTTATACAAGAATTATAATATGTAATTCTATTTTTTTACATGTAATTTGTAAAATGTATTATATTCTTTATTTTCATAGTTAGACTTGATAATTATTATTATAGGATGCTAATAAGATTCTAATGCTCTATAAATTTAAATGCTAATTAATTATTTTTTAAAATATAAAACCAAAATATAAAACCAAAAAGTTTCACAGTATATTTGTAAAATTATTTTCAAACCAATAAAAAATATATGTAACAATTTTTATAATAATGTACATACATTATATATGTATGTATACTGCATACAAAATTCGCATTTACCAAATATTATATTCATATGTATAAAAGTTTCGTTCCGACATTTAAGCTATTTTAGTAAGTAAATACGAGTATTTATAGAGAAAATATTTTCGGTATTAGAAATTGTATGGAAAATTGTGAAATTTATTAGCTAGTTATAATAAAAAAGAAGTGGAAAAAATTTAAAGCACTTTTTACGTAATAAACCTATCAAAAAAACAAAGTTTATATATGAGTTGATCAAATGACTTTTAAAAATAGCAAATACTCTAATAAAACAAACATTAATTTTAAATTTAAATTAAGAAATGCGATTCTAGTTATGATTTCTAATTTATTTTATTATTTAGACAAAGAGTTAACATTTTTAAAAACTTAATATAGGTGTAAAGTTTTTAAATAAAGTAGTAATAAATTCGTGTTCGTTAGAACTTGAATTTATGCTTCGTTATCCGTTAGAGTAGTTAATTGTTAATATGTACAATTTTGTTTCGTATGGCAATGCTGTTATTATATGGGTTTATAATCAGTATAACAATATAAAGCAAAGAAAATAATACAACTCGTACATGAAGTATAGTGTTTGTGGAAAATTTTTACTCTTAAGCTGGATTCAATGGTTCGTTGTTTTTGACCTGAGCTACTTAAAGTCGAACTATTATTTCTCTTGATTGTTCATTGGTTTGTCTGAAAAAAGCGGATCGTTTTTTTTTATTATAATGCATTTATTATATTTTTGACAAGAATTATATGTAATTATAATATTTCTGTATATATAAATTTGACGTTTTAAAAAAACCTCCGCACTAAAGTTTGAGAGAGAGAAAAAAAGCTTTACTGAAAATTAAAAGAATGTCAAAAATCCAAATTTTCATGTAAAGCCGGATTCTTTGGTTCGTCAGTTAAACGACGAGCTAATGTGTTTCAAAATATATTTTAAAATAAAAGATTGAAAAAGCAAAATGTCAATTACTCTTCTGGTCAAATACATACGTACATATGGCAGGAATCTACATATTAAAAATTCTCATTCTTTTGAATTTAATTTAAGTTGCTTGCTATATGAAACAACTTGTACTTCGTATAAAATTTATCTTAAAAAAGGTGTTAATTATTTTTTTTGCAATTGCAAAATTTCGAAAGCACTATTATTTTAATCATATCGCTATTGAATGCTAATTTAATTCAAAAATAAAGAGTTACAATTTTCATATTAATAAAATAAATAATAATATAGTCCACATTTTGGACCATTTTAAATAATTTGCAAGTTCGTTAGCATAAAAAATTATTTTAAATAGATAAAAAATTGTGAAATTAAAACTGGCATATGGAAATTTCCCGATAAGGTACATACATACATACATACATAAGTAAGTAAAGATTAATTTTTTCCCCTTTAGGTAAACTTTTTGCATTTTTCTACTCAATAAATTTCACTCAAAAAAATACTTTAACTTACTTCGAAACAAAACTCTACATGGAAAAAGAATAAAAATGCCGACTTTTTTATGGAAATTTTACACTTACAAGTACAAAGAAGAATTAAATTGTGAAAAATGAAAATTACAGGAAAATAATTAACATATTTAAGTTCAATGGACCTACGCTATATTTGAATAAAAATGCACAACATACAAATTGTATGTAAAGAATTTTAGACATACATTTGTATACGGTGCTGATGTTAACAAACAAATTGTGAAAAGTATTTTCTTTATTCGGCTTTTTATGATTCATTTTCTTTCAAAGATCCTGTAATAATACTTAAATTTCAAAAAATAAAATTTAAAATTTGACGTCATTTCAATTTTTCTACTTCACATGCAACAGGTGCTATCATTAAAAAGATATGAATATTGTCATACACAATTTTACAAACTTAAATGTATATATTAGCATTTTTACCGTCCCAAATTGGGTATAAGATACATTTTTAGATACATAAATATTGCGTTATTTTTTATACAAAATAATGTTGAGTATATGGGGTTTGGTTTTAAATGCAACAACTTTATAACTTTCACAATAAACAAGTGCACTAGTTCGATGCCATGGTGTCCATTTACGTATAATAGCAGTTGCTTTAATTATTTTCATATGTACGTAAGTATTATATATGTACATATATATTTAATAAAAAGTTGAGTAGTCAGAATAAAAACAAGTTTTTTATGATAACTTGATTCAGTTACCTTATGATAAAAATCCTATTTATTACATACATATACAAATATACATACATATATTTAGAGTGCATAAATCATTGTGCATCGTTAAACTTCTCATATGTAAATGGGAAATCCGTGGTGTTCGCACAACTATAAATACAGTAAAACGTGTATAGTAAATGGTGTAGTAAGAAGTAAGAAAACTTAAAATTTGGTTAAATTTTGTTAAATGGGGAATCCACACTTTTAAGTTATTAATTAAATTTGCTTTCAATATGTGTTGATTACCTTATATGCATTTATATACAACATGTGTGTTTATTTTGAAAAATTTCAAAGATTTTTTTAATGTAATATCTGCATATCAAGTTTTTTTTGCTATTAAAATATTGGTATGGAAAGCAATCTGTGATCTTATTCTTGATATAAAGACACATTAATATTTCTTTTTGGTAAATTGATTAAATTAGAAAATTTAATAAAATGTGTTATTAAAATTTAATTTTTATTGCTCTACTCCATATATATTAAACATTATAAAATGTTTAAAAGAAATAAATATGTGGCGTTATAAAATGTTAACATTGGTATAGTTCAAAATTGTCTCCGATTAGTACATTTTAATTAATATTTTTGGATAAATTAATTAGAAAACGGTTAGGCGTAAGAACACTAACTAACATGAGTAGCACATACTACATGTGCTGCAAAGTGGTTTTACTTTTTACTGTACCAAGGTTTAAGTTAAAATGATAAGTATACTCATCATTTTAACTCTAATAACTTTAATAGTTAGAATAATCAGCTGGAATCATGTTGCGCTCCAAATATTTTAACAAAAATAGCTGATAAAAACAAATTTTTTTTTCTTTAAACAATGAGTCATAACTCAATAATACTCGTAT